GTTATGAAGTCTTCATTCAAAGGCAAGAAACATCCTCACATTTTGTGCAAAGTCTTCGGCTCACCAAAGACATGAAGCAGCTGTCAAATTCTGTGAGCAGAATCCAGCCCTTTCAAGGTCAAGGAAGCAGTGTGAGGTTTGTATCACCCTGACCCTCTTCTGTAAAATTCTCCAGCCTCCTCTAATCTGAATAGAAATTAGCAAACTCCTTCAGCCCTTTTCCCTTTCCTAGGCATGTTGGTGAGCCTGGTATCTACACCCCAGCCAACTCTGCACAAAACCGCAGTTTAGATGGAAAATCACTTTGGGTTTCTGGCTCATCAGCAGTACTGCACATCTAATTAGCTCAACAATTGGTCCCTGTGATAAAATCAGCTAATTTTATGTTCAAATGGCTACTCCATGGTAAGCAATATTGTCATTCTCAACTTCACATATAAAGAAGTTGCTGACGAAGCTGGTTACCAGGAGGTCACTGGGGGCAAACTAGTGAAGTCTCTTAAATTAGTAACCTAAGTCAACGTTACAGTGAAGGCGTAGGGGTCCCACCAGGACTCCAAAAGATGAATTCCCAGAATGCAGTGACAGGGCCAGAAATGCCAACTCTTAAAGGGGAAAATAGTATGTCGATATAAAATGCATAGAAGTCACCTGCAGGATCTCCCAGCTCTTAGGAATAAACCTAAATGTTTATGATGAGATTACGGAGTCCTACACCCTAATCTAGTATTGCTAAGAAATGACTCATCCTAAATGAAAGACCTCTTATTTCAGGAATTTGTTCAAAGTTACCCTATCAGGGGTCAGCAAACTTTTGAGATGGAAGAGCCGCAAGGGGTCAGCAAACTGCGGCTCCCAAGCACAGACTGAAGTAAAATTGAAAATGAAAATCAAACTATCATAGTTTCACTTATAAAATTTTTAAAGGATATTATTCACATAATGGTGATTATGCAAAATATATTTATGGCTCTCAAATACTTTTTAAATTGTTGTGAGGGACAGGATTGGCTCTTCCAGGGGTTGGCAAACTTTTGAGACAGAATGCACCCAAAGAGCTGCATGTGCTCATGAGCTACAGTTTGCCGACCCCTGAGCTAGATAGAAAACACTGGAAAGCCAATTCCAGGGCTCACCTGTTCAGCTTCCTCCTCTCCTTCATTCAACTATTAAAGCAACTTGTGGTATCTGAGGCTCTCTTTCTACTCTGTGGGCTCTATTAGAAACCACGTTACTTTTTAAGGTAAATGTTAACAGTACATATCAACTTCTTTATGGTGTAAAAGCTAATTATATCACCTCTCACAGGCATTGCAAATGATTGATTTTTAAAAAATTAGCAATTATACCAATTGAAGGGACATTCAGGAACCTATACGAGTTTTAAAACTAGAAACAAGAGATACATGAAAGCACATAATTTTACATAAAGATAAGAGATACATACATATCTATATCTACACATATCTATTTTACCTATGTATATAGATAAATATCCTCAGAGATATATAAGTGACTTCATTTAGGCTTCATTTATACAAGATGCTTAAAACAGTAATTAGCATGTAGTAAAGTACTCAGTATTGTTGTTGCTGTTCTATCATCATCATCATCATCATCATCATTATTTAACTATATATACTATATATAAATATATTACATAAACTGCGCGTACATGTGTAACTGTATATTATGTAACTATATGATTGTAGCAGGATTCCTACTAAAAATCAAACTTGTGTTTTTCTTTTTCTGCTCTAACAGGTGCCAGCAAGTCGCTGACTTGTGGTAAACCATCACGGAGACATTGTAGTCAGCTGCCTGGCAGGACTGGGTGGGGCTGGGTGAAAGACCCCACCATCATATTGGGCATCTCTCGTGCACCAGCTCAGATCTTCTTGGCCTCACCTTTCTCTTCTCCACCCCCTGAAGTGCCCAGCTGTGCATAGACTCTAATTAGCTTTATGCAGGTGCAACCCTACAGCACCTCACCTCACACTCATGCCATGTGCCTCTTAGCTCCTGCATCCTGCCCCGGGGACACAGTCTCCTGGGCCTACACACGCATGCAACCCAGAAGTGTAGCGTGAACCCATGGGAGATGGCAGCCACTGGACACATGCTTTCCTTCCTCCCCCAGAACGACTGGCCATTTCATAAGGACCAAACAACCGGTTACCGATACTAGGTGCCAGCTTGAATCGGTTCTCCCTCCTTTTCTTTTCCACGCCCCCTTCCCTTTACTCCTGCTCCGTGGCGCCACGTGACCCAGTAAGTCCTCACACAGGAGACTGTCATGGACTCTGCTTTCCGTGGGTAACCAGACCCCAGACTAAGAATAAAAGCCACAGTGGCCACCCATGTGCAGCTGCGCAGTTAGCTTTCCTGCTCACCAAGGTTAAGTGACACAATGAGACACTTTGGTTCCTGAAAAGGAAAATTATTTGGTCCCTCATTGTGTAGATCTGAAAGGCGGAAAGGGGACAGTGGTTCCTGGTGCTCACGGCGGCGGGGAGAGGAGGATCAATCCTGACCCAGAGCTTCAGGTGGGGGCCCTCCGGCAATGGCTGTGCCAGGAATGAAAAGAGCTCTGCACTTGACTGAGCTCAGCCAATGGTCCCAAGGGCTGTGGTTTTCAGTGATCAGCTCTTTCTGGTGGTGGTGAAAAGGGAGAATATTTGACCCTCATGTTGTGAATGCCCAGAAAGGACATGGAGCGAGCAGTTCCTGGAGCAGCACCTCTGACGGCCACGAGGACCTGTGCTCCATGCAGTCCGTGCCCTGGCAACGTGCCAACACAAGGGTAGGTGGTTTAGGATCTTGAGTATCCCAGGCAAAGAGCCAGACTGATATACCCTCTGCCTTCAGTGGAATCCAGGGCCAGTTTTATTTATGTGATAAAATAAAAAAGGCGTGACAGTATTTGTTTTCTGAGTTGGTGATAAAGCAGTTATGTGTAATTCCCATACTTGTATGCTTAGGTACAGTATACCTAAAAAGCATTTGATTAGAACAACCGTCTAGTCTGTAAGATTAAAATTCCCCAAATCTACCAAAAATAGAGACATTATTAAAACAGTTCATTAATATTAAGCATCTAAATTTTATTTCCTGTGTGTACCAGTTAGCTAAAAAATCAACATGGGTCCCACTCAAAGCACAGGTAAGAAACTATATTGGGGTAGAAACCAGAAAATTAGGTATAAGCTAGCCTCTTCATCATCATATGGGAGGCCATTTGAACTTAAGAACCTTTATTGTGAATACCAGAATATCGTCTCATTTTGAGATATTCTAGAGGGAATTTCATATCCTTCCATAGTCTCTTAGTATTACTGTTGATACCTTAAAGAACTGTGAATCATTACAATAGGCAATTTATATATAGCATTAATTACAGGTAACTGTATCAACTTCTAACATTGCCTTTATCGTTAAATACAGTGAAATTAAACCAAGCAGAACTAGTTTTTCAGTTCTTGCTTGTAGATGATGCTCTCACGCCTTGCGCAGTGTCTTCCGTGGAGCCACCATTTCCCTCCCCATCTTTCCAATGCTGGTGGTCCTCGGGTCCCAAGCCTTCTCCTCTCATCTCATCCCTTTTCCTAGTGATCATATCAGCAACATGGGCTTCATGTACCATATATAAGTTAACCCCCAACAATAATAAGCGCTACTACCACTTGGTGAGCACCTACTATGTGCTAGGCTCTGCACTTTATAAGCATTAACCCAGTTAACAGTCACAACCACCCTCCCTGCAAGGTAGGAACAGCCCATGTCTCCTCCTAGCAACCACCTGGATACCCGTGTCATGGGTACCTTAAACTGCACATTTCCAAACTTAACGTACCTCCCCCACAATTCTGCCTCTGCTCCTTCATGCCTTTATACAAATCATCACTAGCCAGAAACCTGTAAGTCATCCTGGACTCCTCACTTTCATTTATTCTCCACTTCCAATCAAGTTCCAAGTTCTATGACTTGTACTTTCTCAATATATCTTCATTCCATTCATGCTCTGACCATCCTAAACAAAGCTCCCATCATTTCTGGCCTGGCGTCCTACAACAGCTGCCTAACTCATCTCTCTGCATCTAGTCTTATTTCTCTAATGCCGCTAACTTAACCTCATGACTTTGGGCATCTAAAATATGGAGATAATAATGAGGTCTCTCATCCTTATAGGTTTGCTTGAGTAAATAAGATATATGGCTTTCTAAGTGTTAGGCACTTGATAAAAAGAAATGCAGGTGATATACAAATTGAAACAATTTGATGCTAGAGGCTACGTGCTTAACTGCCACCACATCGTGTGTCCAGGTAAGCCCACCATTATCAGAAAAGTCATGATGCAAAGGGATATGAAAAAGGATAACTTACAGTTAAAAGTTTTTTAGAACAGAAATAAAATATACTCAAATTACTCCAAAACTCAGCAGCTTAAAAAAACGAACATTTATTATCTAATGGTTTCTATAGCACAGCGTAGTTAGATACCTCTCCTTGAGGTCTTTCACGGGGTTGCAGTCTAACTGTCAGCTGGGGCTACAATCTCATCTGAAGCATTGACTGAGGTTGAGGGGCTTCCAAGCTCACGCAAGTGGTTCTGGGAGGCCTTCATCCCTTGCCACCTGAGCCTTTACACATGGCTGCCTCACAACAAGGCAGTGGCCACCCAGTCTATGGTGATTCAGAGAGACAGGCAGAGAGAGACAAAGAGAGAGGGAGAAAGACTATATGTTAAGCAACATATTCATCCGAATAAGTTGAATTTAAAGAGAAATGCATGAGGGCCTATTCTTACAATCTCATTTAGCACATTTATGGAGCAGAGTGGCTCTATTCCAAGAGGCTGGCAGGGATGACCAAAAAATGTGCAAATGGAACACAGTGCCAGGTGAGATGAGCCAGACCCCCCCTATATAGGTAGGGCTCACCCTGGCAGGGCCAATGGCAGGGGCAGATGGCGGAGGGCCAGGAGCGAAAGGGAACCCTACCTTCTGGTAGTCTTCTTTGGACCGCAGGGCCGTCTCCATGTGCGCGGTAGAGGTCGGATATATGGCTGAGCGGTACTGAGAGCCGTAGTCGTTGCCTTGGCGCATGCCTGGGCAAGCGGAAAACAGAAAGGATTACTGGGTGGACTGGACCACAAGGCCAGTGTCATACGCTCTCAGTGTCTCATGTGCAAAGAGCTTCTTTCAATTTTATCTTGACACCTCTCACCTTAAATAAGCATGAAATGTATCTGTTTTGCTTTGCCTATTTTAATTATAATGAATATCTCCAAACTTAGATAAATTCGTCACAGTCTTGGATCATAGCAGATGCTCTATAAATATGTATTTTTCTATGTAGGTATTTAAATCATAACCTATTCCATTTATTACTTGCAAAGCACTGTGATACACATTATTTCTTTGAGCCCTAATAAGACGCCCCCTGTGGTAGGTATTGCTGTCCCGCACTTGGCCGATAAGGAAATGGGATAATGGACTGACAAATGACAAAGTAACTGATACTCCGCGAGTTTAAAGAGTTGGCTAAGGTCACATCCCTCATCAAAGGAAGACCGGGGACTTAAAGTTAGCACAGTGCGCTTCCCACCCTGTCACAGCTGCGTAAGTGTACATGGTGGCCAATTTCTAACTGAATAACTTAGTCCCCAAAGTGAAACAGCCACAGGCTTAATAGAGTGCTCCATAGTGTTGTCAAAATAAACTTCACTCATGTTTACTGCATCATTCAAGGATCAGTTTCAGACTTTAAAAGCGCTCCCAAACCCCTCCAACAGTCTTCCAAAAGGAACAGTTTGGCTTTTCAAACTTTAACACACATGCGAATCACCCGGAGATGTTGTTAAAATGCAGGTTCTGGTTTATAGGTCGGAAGTGAGCCTGAGAGTCTGCATTTCTCACCTGCTCATGGGTGGTGCGGAGTCACCTGGCTGCACTTTTTGAGTAGCAAGGATTTAGCGCTTGCCCAGATAGTTTCAAGGTTCCTGTATAATCTGTCAGCAACATTTTAATTCTAGTAATGGAGTGAGGGAACCCTGAATCTTCTAAACTACCCTTTCCCAGGTACACCCCACCACGTCCACCCAACCCTGTCATGCACACACTTCACTGAGCTCCTGTTCAACCTTTAAGACTTAGTTCAAGCATCTGACCTCTGCGAAACCTTCGCTGATCGCACCTCACAGCTGGGACAGGCACGGATTCCTCTGGCCTCCACTGGGCCTTGAAGGCCCCTCTCTTAGAAGTGTCATTGCACTGCACTGTTATTATGTGGTTATCCCTCTTCCTCCTCTGTGAGCCTTCCAGAGGGCAGAGCTTTACAGCCATAGCACCTGGTACAGCACCAGACAGGTTTACTTCCACAAATATGTGTTGCATGAAGAATATGAGTTTATATCTTGTGATTCAAAGCCCTGCAATCCATACTGGAGTGGTTTGTCACGTTTACTTTGTAAATGTAAATCAAAATGTAAATAAAATAATCTTTCTGAAGAGCTGGAGGAAAAAACTACAAACGAGCTCATATATTTGACCTGTAGAAGTGAAGTGCAGTAGCTGAGGACACCAAAGGTTCACTAGGCAATTAATGGATGGACAAGCTAGAATTCATGACCAAAACTGCAGGCCAAAAATGGAGATTTAAGTAGTCAAAACTAGTAGGATTTAGGGTTAAGCCATAGGCTATCTATGGTGTGTGTGTGTGTGTGTGTGTGTGTGTGTTTGTGTGTGTATGTGTGTGTGTTGGGGGGAGGGTATTTCTGATGTATATCCCCAGCTTAGCTGACTTCCTAGAAATCCCATTCTCCCACCTTTAGAGTTCCATCCTCTCCTGGATGCACAAAAGTCACAGGGGGATCAGGAACTAATTAGCGGCTTAAAGAGCCAACACTAACAATGACACCAAAATACTAATTTAATAATATATAATAATAAAAGTGAACCAGCCCATGCCTCTAATAAACACTGTATAATACCAAATTAAAATATCTATTTCATTTCTGTGTCAGTTATGTATTCACATAAGCATTATAGTACATAGTATATAAGTATTATTACAGTATAAATATTATTTACAGTATGTATTATATAGGTATTATTATAGTATAAGCATTATTTATTAAGCACCTAACATGTACCCAGTACTTTTTCAGATGTTGAGGATACACCAATGAACAAAATCAATCTCCTCCCTCCAACCCCTTCCCAAAGCTCACATTCCAGTGGAATAGAAGAGCCTGGATAAATACATTTCAGAATGGCATTTTGGCAATATTTTTACTTTGATTTCTTCCATTTTCCCTCCTTCTCTTACAAGTAGGGCTTTTCTTGCATGACTACTCCCCATCCTTTTGTGCATAGAGATATGATAGTATAGTAGCATTATTGTTCCTTCTGAAATATTCTCCATGAAGAAAAAATATTGGGGGCGGCCAGTTAGCTCAGTTGGTTAGAGTGCAGTGCTCATAACACCAAGTTGCCGGTTCAATCCCCACACAGGCCACTGACATGCACCCTCCACAGCTAGATTGAAAACAACAACTTGACTTGGAGCTGATGGGTCCTGGAAAAACACACTGTTCCCCAATGAAAAGAAAGAAAAAATACTGCTAGACGGATGATTTTTAAAAAAATTTGACCCTCCCCATTCAACACAAGATATAGAAAAGTGGGGTCTATGTGTGGAGTTTAAATATATTTAAGCTGTCTTTCTTTTGAAAGAGAAATTAGTATGTGAGTAAAAGAGAATCTGCAGGTGTGACTTATTCATATTCTCAACAAGTTTTACCAAGATTCTGTATGTCTTGTACACTGAAGACAATAAATTACTGTGTGTTTAGTTGAAGGTCTTTGAATTATGATAGGGTCATGGAAAATTGTTGCTTATGCATAAAAATTGGCTTTTTAATCAAACAAGATGGGAATAATGAAGAATTATTTCAAGGAAATGGTATAATAAAAGGCTCTTCCACTGGGAATATTTTCACAAATAATCTGGTAGACGAAGTACACAATGAAATCCTTAAGCTTACATCCATATTTAGAGATTCTCTTGTAGTGACATGACACCCTAAGTAGAAAGACCTGGAAGATTTCACATAATTGTGTGGTTAAGCAAAAAAAAACAAAAACAAAAACAAAAAAAAAACATGCACATAACTGTCATTCTAGGCAATGCATTCCTTTTTATTATCTTTTCCTAGATTATTTTTTTAAATTTATTTTTCAGTTACAGTTGACATACAATATTATATTAGTTTCAGGTATACAACATCATGATTAGACACCATGTGATCACCTCTATAAGTCTGGTCCCCATTTGACACCATACATAGTCATTACAATATTATTGACTATATTTCTGTGCTGTTGTTTACATCCCCATGACTATTTGTATAACTGGCAATTTGTACTTCTTAATCCCTTTCACCTTTTTCACCCATCCCCCCAAACTCCCTTCCATCTGGCAACCATCAATTTGTTCTCTGTATCTATGAGTTGTTTCTGTTTTGTTTGTTTATTTTGGTTTTTTTTTTGGGGGGGGGATTCTACATATAAGTGAGATCATATAGTATTTGTCTTTCTTTGTCTGACTTACTTCATTTAACATAATACCCCCTACCATCCATGTTGTTGCAAATAGCAAAATTTCATTCTTTTTATGACTGGGTAGTACTCTATTGTACATATGTAGCACATTTTCTTCATCCACTGAATAAAATACCTAGGAATAAATTTAACAAAGGAGGTAAAAGACCTGTGTAAGACACTGAAAAGTATAAGACACTGAAGAAAGAAATTGAAGACACAAATAAATGGAAGGATATACTGTGCTCATGGATTGGAAGAACTGACATCATTCAAATGTCCATATTACCCAAAGCAATCTACAGATTCAATGCAATCCCTAATCAAAATACCAGTAACATTTTTCCCAAGGCAATGTATTTGTATAAAAAACAATCCATGGGTTATTTATGTAATTAGAGGTTATACTACTACTGCAATCCAGGATAGGGATTTATAGACCCTTCCCTGAAGCCATGATCCCTTTAAATTCTAACTTGATTATCTAGTAATTGTAATACTACAATGATGATATGGCTCTTGTCATTGTTTTCTTCATAGTCTTTGTGCAGATATGGGCTGTCCCCAACACACTCTGGGCAGCTTTAATGATGAGGAACATCATGGGTATTACCCACAGCTTTGCACCTTTCCCTTAGCACAAACCCAAACTGTCTATTCATCCATTGCATTACTTACACAGTTACAGCCACCACTTGCAGGCAGAAATCTTACAGATTTGAATTTACAGCCCTGACCTTCTGACCCCAACCCTTCTTGAATGTTCTAATGAAACTAAAAGCTCTCCATATAAGAAACAATACACATTCTCTTCCTGGTCACGCTGGCTTATCCCCTCCTTAGCCAGGAAGGAAGACAAGAAAGTGCTAAACAGATATAGTAGCGGATGGAGAGAAAACATCAAAGCCCTTATTCAGATTTCCTTGACTCTTAAGTGGTACTGGACAAGACATTAACTCTCTCTGGTCTACTCGTGAATAAGAATGTTAATTTTTTTTTTTTTTAAGATTTTATTGGGGAATTGGGGGAGAGGAACAGCATTGGGGAAATTGGGGAAGGGGAACAGACAAGTTGCTATCCTTTTGTTCTTCAGTCTAGTCATGGAGGACATTGCTTCATTGGCCCATATTGATATTATCATTGCGCTCTTCCCAGGTGAGGCAGTCGTTCACCAGCCATTGGACGGCCGTTCACAGTGGCTCACAGCAGCTCATGCCGGCTGCCAGCCACTCACAGTAGCTCATGGCAGCCCACTGCAGCAGGGGCTGCAGCCTATACCATCGCTGGTGACTCACAGCAGCCCTGCTCCAGGTTGAGCTGTTGTTTACCATCTTAGCTATAGAGGACACAGCGTCACTGGCCGTCATGTGGGATCTGAACCGGGGCCCTGCTGCTCAGAGCTGGTATCCCAAGCCAACACTTAACCAACGTGCCACCTGGCCGGCCCAAGAATGTTAATTTGATTGATTTTTTTTCCATCAAAGATCATCCTGAGGAAAAAGTA